GGAAAACAAGGCATTTAGGGAGGTCTATATCCATAGAAAATAAGTCCCCACTAGCTGGGCCCATGTATGGGGGATGAGTTGAGTAGGTGTCAGCCTGTACAACTTAAGAACAGCCTTAAAGAATGGATGAAGGGGCAGATGAAATCCCCACTTCAGAAGGTATTCGGTAATTACCACACATCCTAGCCTAGGAAAGCAAGCTTTCTCCTCAAGCAAAGGGGCTTGGAATTCGATTGTGTGATGGATACAATACTTCTCTCTAATTTCTACGACGTCGACACCAATAACATTGACGGAATCTTAGCAGCCCCCCAGCCGCATCATAACCTAAATGACCTTCTATATGGTTTAGCACACTTCGGCCTGCCCAAATTGCTTGAACTAAGTCAAATGTGTTCGTTATAGCCAGTTCCATTTTCAGATGCCACCGCACTCAAGTCTAGGTTTTCTCCACCAGAGTTTGAAGAACTCATGATCTCAAGAAAAACATGAAGAAATGAAAAAGCGGAGATGAATGAATACTCACATAGTTAATGAATGAACAGGAAAGATCACTGGCTGGAGAAAAGGTCTCAAGAACTTTTTTGTACAAAGGAATAAGTGTGGAAAATCGCTTTTTGCAAAGTAAAGAATGAAAGGGGTAAATGATTTAGATTTTATCGGCGTAGGTCATCAGCCCTAACCATTGGAACTGAATCCTAACCATCCAACCTTTCCTTTAGGGGTTAATCCAAGCCATTCATAGCATCCGTATCTTCATATTCAACGGTATAGATCACAACGTTTTAGCCACGAGCACCAAAGTGTATGCCTCCCATAAAACAAACTTGTAGCTATCATCATTACCATTAAATATGGTGACGGTTGCGTGTATGAAAAGTTGAAACATTGCAGCTTTTCTTTCTCGAAAACATACAAGATAGCTAATAATTTGGATGCAATAATTAATGGTGCATCGTGTTCTCAACATTTCAAAAAACATAACTCTTCAGATTCATGAGTTGCACTCTCAACAGGTAACATAGGCAAATCACTTCAGTCTTGACTACAACAACTTCAATAAGGTTTCAGATGTGTAGAGCCACTTCGGAGTGAAAAGATGTGTAGAGCCACTTCGGAGTGAACAACCTCTTATGAAAACAGCCCAACTGACACTCCATAACTTTTTCCATAAAATTAGAAGTTTCAAAGTACACAACTTCTTACAAAAACCTCTATATAAGTAATTCATGCAAGTAAACTACCTTTAAATTCTAATTATAATATGAATATTTATATTTAGACTTGGGGAACTATTGTGGTATGGCAAAAATCACCCAGACAAAACAAAATTTTTATAACGAAAGTCCATGCATTATATGAATAATCATGCTTAAACTTGGGAGACTATTATTAAGTCTCGCCGCCTAGGCTCCAGTCAGAAGACCATGTCGTAGTTCACGTGGAGATGTAAGTCAAATCATGCCACAACATAGACTCAATTTGTCAAAATAAAGTGTTGGGTTTTTGAAGACTACCTTAACTTTGGAATTGATCAAGAACTCCAGTAATCAGAGATGCACCAGTAGAGGAAGCAACCAGCTATGAAAAATAGCATGAATAACAGAAGAAAAATAGTAGAATTATAACCAGCAGAAGTAGGAATCAACACGGCAAGAATTAAACACCGAGAATGGATTTTGAACAGGAAGAAAACCTCTTCCTCAGCCTTTATTAATCCAAGACTAACATGATTACAAAACTAGAAATCATCAGAAAGATTTAATATCAGATTTACAAGAGTTCATCCCTCTAATCTATCTCACTTTCTCTTCTCCTTTTTCACTCTCGAGAGACTATTTTTCTATCATCTAACCAGGCTATTTATAGACACAAAACAAGAATCATTTCAGTTATTAACTACCACCTAACAACTAAGGCTCCAATTGGTTGAAAGATTCCAACCAACACAACAGAAAACGGTAAAACAGAAGGCTCCATTTGCAACAGATTTTCTGATTTTCTAAGGTTGTCTAATTCTACTTCTTCAAGAATTAATTCCTTACAATCTCCACCTTGATTCTTGAGGAGAGTTTTTAGACATACTGCAGCTGAACTTCAACTTTCTTTCCTTGCAAAATGTAGACGCCTTGTTGCAGGATTCCTTGCATGATCACCACTGAATTTTCAAACACCTGTAACACTCTACCTTTAGCTTTGTACACACAACCAATTTTGTCCAGTACTCCCAGTGAGATCAGATTCCTTTCCAGGCATGGCACATGCCTTACTCCTCCTAGGACCTTTGATGAACCATCCCACAATTTCAGCTTGACAGAGCCCACACCAGCCACTTCACAGGTGTTATTATCAGCCATAAGCACCTTACTTTCAGCCATCGGTTTGTATTCAATGAAAAATTCCTTCCTTGGTGTCATATGAAATGAGCAACCTGTATCCATAATCCAGATATTGTTGTGTCTTGCACTTGTTACAGCAAGAACTTCGCCAACTTCAAAGTCTTTGTGGACAATTCTTCTTGAAGTGCCCTTCTTGATGACAAATCCAACACATTTTCCTTTCCTTTCTTCCTTGCACATACATTACTTCTCCAGTCCTCTTTGCCAGATTACCATTCAGCTTCAGATCCAATTCCTTCGAGTAGGCTGCTGCAGCAACTTCTTTGAGAGTCAAAGATTCCTTGCTATATTTGATGGTATCCCTTAAATGATCAAAGGCTGGTGGCAAAGAGTTCAACAAGAAAATGGCTTGATCTTCCTCATCTATCTTGATTTCCAGATTCTCCAGATTAGAGACCATCTTTGTAAACTCATCAATGTTCTCATCAATTGACTTTGATTCGTCCATCTTGAAGTTGTAGAACTTGTACTTCAAGTAGATCCGGTTTGGCAAAGCTTTAGGCAAGTAGAGCTCTTCCAATTTGTTCCACATTTCAAAGGCCGTCTTCTCCTTGATTACCTTCCTTAGCACTGTATCAGAGAGGCTAAGAATGATGGTATTCCTCGCCTTCTTCAAGATGTCAGCCTGATTTGAAGCCTCAGTTCCAGATTTTTCTTTCAAGGCTTCTTCCAATCCAAGGTTACCAAGATGTGCCATCATCTTCTCCCTCCATAAGTTGAAGTCATTCTTGCCATTGAATTTCTCCACTTCATACTTGGATGTTGACATATTGTGATCAAGATTCTGGTCAGGAATCTTTCTTGCACAAGAGATGTGTTTGGCCAAATTAAAAGGGATAGAAATGAGGCCAAGGAATGTTCAAGCTCTGATACCAATTGTTGGGTTTTTGAAGACTACCTTAACTCTGGAGTTGATCAAGAACTCCAGTAATCAGAGATGCAATAGTAGAGAAGCAACTAGCTATGAAAAATAGCAAGAAGAACAGAAGAAAAACAGCAGAATTATAACCAGCAGAAGTAGGAATCAACACGGCAAGAATTAAACACCGAGAATGGATTTTGAACAGGAAGAAAACCTCTTCCTCAGCCTTTATTAATCTAAGACTAACATGATTACAAAACCAGAAATCATCAGAAAGATTTAATACCAAATTTACAAGAGTTCATCCCTCTAATCTATCTCACTTTCTCTTCTCCTTTTTCACTCTCGAGAGACTATTTTTCTATCATCTAACCAGGCTATTTATAGACACAAAACAAGAATCATTTCAGTTATTAACTACCACCTAACAACTAAGGCTCCAATTGGTTGAAAGATTCCAACCAACACAACAGAAAACGGTAAAACAGAAGGCCCCTGTTGCAACAAATTTTCTGATTTTCTAAGGTTGTCTAATTCTACTTCTTCAAGAATTAATTCCTTACATAAAGAAGTTAGAGAAAAGCTGATGTTCCGAAACTCTCCCCTGGCCGAAGTCCTCAAAAGAAAAAGTGGTGCTTTTCTCATCTGAAGCTCTATATAAGTGGTTGAAGCTCTGAAACCGACGCAATACATAAGAAACCAAAAAAGGAGCCGAAGTACTCTATCCTGCAGCTATTCACATCGAAAGACGTCCAATACGAAACTCCCTTTTAGCTATAGTTCTTGCTGTCTTTTAGAGGATCTGCAGGTAATCTTGAAGTATGATTGATGTAATATTTGTAGTAGTGAATGTCAGGATTGTCAACTTATTGTATAAGATGATTAACCTGTTATCAATATATTAATTGCATAGAAGATGAAGTGATGTGAGGCTTCGATCTAGGAGATGATGCCACGTGGTTCTGATTTAATGGCTACCACATCGGCCGAACTCTATAAATAAAAAACGCTTGTAACATTTGTAAAAGGGAAACCCTTTACACTCGAAACCACGCTCAATCTTCTCTCTTGCTTATTCCATATTTATTTGTTTAAGTTTAAATTACTTCTATTTTGGAGGATTTGTTCATAATTATTTTTTTAATATGCAATCATCTTTGATCATACTGTCGGTGCTCGAATATTTTTGTCTCGTATCATAGAACATCTCATACGTCTATAAACACCAACCTTTTCCGCTTGGATCTCCGGTCAAAACGTGTTGAAATTTGCTTGTATGGATGTGAGTGAGCCTAACATCTGTTGTCCACGTGAACATTACAAAAAAGAGGATCAACAAAAAAAGTTATTTTTTTTTTGTCAATTCTTTCAATGTAAGTATTGGTGGATATTTTAATTTTAATCTATCCCTTTGAAATAAAATCAGCAGTCTCGATTTTGATTCCAAAAATTACATGGAAAGAATGGTTTCATTTACAAAATGATCGAATTTTGAACAGATGATTTTGATTCTTTAAATACTTAGAACGAACCACCCAACGACCACCGCTAAGTTTGAGTTACATATAGGGATAACAATGTCTTAGGAAGTTTAAATAAATAATTTATTCTCTACTCTGAGAAAAAGAAAAATAAAAGATAAAAAATATTCTTATTTACTCATAACCACCACGTGTTCAACAAAAACTAAACCACAAGCTGAAATATGAATACTTATTCCAAAAGCTGTAAAAATCTCATCATGAAATAAAAGAAGCCAATTGCTTAATCAAATCCTTTGCTTTCTCAGTGTGAGGATCAAATACATGAAAACAATGATCTTCTCCATCAACCACCACCAGCTGCACTTCACCACTCCACCCAATTTTCTTCACAGTCTCAGCATATAGAAATCCGATAGGCGTAAATGCATCCTTCTCTGCTAAACAAACCAGCAGCCTTGAACACGCCAGCCCCGATAAGCTCGGAGCATCCTTCGCCATTGGATTGATCATCGGATTGTCAATCCCACCCGGGGCTGATGGATAAATACACATCCAAACTTTATATGCAAAACCAGTCATATCTTCTTTTGATTGCGACTCAAGTGGTTTTGATCCCCAGAAATAAGGACAAGATAGACATAAACCCAAGATTTTCACATCCCCGGGCAAAGGTTCCACCCCAGCCCGGAGAACAATATTATG